AGTTGTGGGAGGTGCATTGGGTGACACCTTCGGATAAGGAGAATCCCAAATGGTCTGTCTATAAATGTTTGCCCAGTGTTTCAGCGTCAATTTATTATTTGGATTCACAGAATCATAGAGTTAGAAGAAAATGCATGGGCCATCTAGCCCAGCCTCCTGCCATACAGGAAAAGCACAATCAAAGTACCCCTGACAGATAGCCATCCAGACTCTGTTTAAAAGCCTCCAAATAGGAGTTTCCACTACACTCTGAGGCAGAGAGTTCCACTGCTGAACAGCTCTTACAGTCAGGAAGTTCTTTCTAGTGTTCAGGTAGAATCTCTTTTCCTGTAATTTGAACCCATTTCTTATAAACAGTATCTCTGTATCTCTGCAGTTGAACATAACTACAAAAAGTTTTTGTAAACCCAGATCACATTCATTGTCTCAATATACCTTCAAAGATAAAACTCTATGTTAGTTTATTTTTTGAACTTTGTAATACGCACGTGCTCCAATCAGAGCTGTCATGATTATCCAATTACAATAACACTTCAAATGATGAGGTTTCTTTTGCATACACTATAATCACACACACTTGTTTTCATTGGTACTGGGTTTTTTAAAATATCGTATCTGATTTTGTAATTTTTTCTTTATTGTGGCATGGTCTAGTACAGTAGTTCTCAACCTATGGGTCCCCACAACTCTCAAAATTTCATTATAAATGGCAGTTCCTATTTGGTTCTGTCATAAAAATCACCAATAATGAAATAATAATTAAATTTTGAAAGTTTTGTTAGAGTTCTGACATTTTCACCTCCAGAACTTTAGTTTTGTAAGTACTTTAGAACCATTTAGAACCATGGATTGCCCAGGCCTAACAGATGTTTTGGCCTTCAACTCTCAGACATCCTAACAGCTGGTAAAGTGACTGGGATTTCTAGGAGTTGTAGACCAAAACATCTGGGGACCCACTGATCTAGTATGGGAGGAGGTCCATGGGAGGGGGTATGACAAGGTGAGTTACTGCACTGGGAAGCACCAACATTCCTGATGCCATTGGGCATATCAAAAAAGTTATTATACTTACTGATAATATTTTATTTAATAATATGGTAGAATTATTATTTAATATATGAAATAATACTAATGACATCCTGAGAAAGGACACATCATCTTCTATTTTGGTAAATATTTTGGTTTTGTCCATGTTGAAGCTGTACACATAGGCTATTTAATAATAATAATAATAATAATAATAATAATAATAATAATAATAATAATAATAAACAATAACAATTTATTACCCCCACTTTCCTTATAACTTGAGTTAGAGCACAACACATTTAAAACACATCATCATAAAATACATTCAATAAAACACATATATTAAAACACATTTCTGTAAAATACAGATATTAAAATACATGGAACAAAGATTAAAATATAATAATCATAGAATGTAAATTTAAAATTCATGGTTTAAAACTGACTGGGTAGACCTGCTAGAAGAAATAGGCCTTTAGTTGTATCTTGCATTCTGACAGCTGCTTCAGCTGTCAGATCTCTTCTGTCAGGTCATACCACTGTCTCAGGGCAGCTGAGATCCTCTGAGTAACCACTGCCAGTTGTGTTCTGGCTGGCTGGAGTATATCTGTGGTTATGTCTGACTACAGGGATGTTTCAAGAAAAAACATTTCTGCTGAAACACTGCAATTTTTTTATAGTCAGTTATTTTGGTGTCACACCCTCTGATGGTGTCACCGGGCACAGTGTGCAGCCCCCTTCACACCCTCCACACCTCTAGTGATGTCACTGCTGGGCAGTGCTTGAAAAACTTAGTTTTTTGGGATTACAATTCCTAGAATCCACCAGCCATCACAGTCATTGCGGGAGCAGCTCCCCCGTTTCAAGTGATGTGAGACAAAGGAAAGAGAGTATGAACATTAAATACACCTACTGTGTATTCAGGATTCATGAACTATAATGCACAACAAAACATTAACCTGCTTGGGAATCATAAAGCAGTTCCAGAAGGTTTAATAAAATGCACTTGTCTTCCTGTGTGATCATCTCCTCCTAGAGAAAAGCTAGGATGGGTCTACTAAGACCTTACAGGATGATGAGATAATACACCATCTGGCCCTATCTCACCTGTTAGATGATGTGTATTGGTCACTACTGCTCCTTTGGCATAATAACAATCTAGTTGCTTGTTTCGCCTGGCTGTTTGTTATGCTCTGATGAAGCAATTAAGCACATAGCCTCTCTCCTCTTCTTACTTTTTAATGTTTGCTTTTAATTGACGATCTTGTCCAGCTACTATTTGATCAACCAGTTGTAGATCATTCCACTGCTGCTTGCAGCAAGGGCTGTGATGATAGGATGACTAGGCCAAACCAGAACAAATGCCTTTCATAATGAATAAAGAGATCCTTTTCATCACAGTGGTTACCAACTGGTTAATAAATGTGCTTGTCCATTTGCTCCATATTGTCATACAGATCTAATGATCCAGTGGGCCTCTTTCAGAAGGTTCTTGCTCTGTTGAGACCTCTGCTTCTATCTCTGGTTTTTGTCAGTGCACTGGCTGTCTAGATTTAAACCAGCTTCACGCAGGATCTTCTGGATCATGGGCAATATGAGGTTTCCTCTTAGGCTGTCAGAGATATCTCCCCTTCCTTCATATGGCTTGGAGGAGTACTTTGGAGCATCAGCACCATCGTGAGCCGTGTCTCGATGTATGTAGCCAAATGAAGACGTATTAGAGTCACAGTCATGCCTGTTCTCTCTGGTTTTTTCCAATAGGTGCTGCTGTATCTGTGTCAGTGCTGCTACAATGAGCTCTTTCGCATACAGGTCCATTGATGCCCTATCCGACCCTCTGGTTTCTGTTGGAATAGACTTTCCCAAACCTCTTGCTTGGTCCTTACATTGGCCATGAGACTCCCTTTTCAAGGATGCAAACTGAAAGTCCTGGGTTCTTTGGTTTGACTGACCACCGGTTTTATACGATGTAAATGTTAGGTTCTGAGACCTATGCCTATCATCCACTGAGAGAAGTTTAAACAAACGCTTCACCATGGCCTCCATAACTTCTGATGTCTTCTGAGTTCCCACATTGTAAAGATTCCTCTTCAATCCATAAACAAAATCAGAGTCCGTCATGAGGGCCCCCGTAATATTGTGTAGGTTTTTCATAGAGGAATCAATTAAGTCTGAGACAACTTCCTTAGCGTGCCGTATGAGCACCTCTTTTAAAACAGCACAAGCAGGTGGAGGACGTCGACCTTTTTGGACTTTCATGGTCTTCAGAAATGATAGCATCATGTCTGAGGCAACCTGGTTTGCGTACAACATCATCCCTTTACTTACAGAAGTGGCATCCTCCATCTTAAATTTGTCTGAATAGGTTGTATCTGGTATCTTTTGGGCATTTTGGCTAACAGTTTCACTGGTGAAGGCATCATCAATCTTGACGGACCGTTCTTGAGGTGGCTTTCTGCTGACATCGGCACTCTCAGAGGCAGGAGATTTTGCCTCAGTGCTGTAGGGACTAATGGTGTGTCGTGTGCACTTCCCAGAACTCTCCCATTTTTCTTTGATCTCCTTCCGCGTCATTTCAAGGACTAAGGAGCAGAGCTTATTGGCATAATAGGCAATGTCTTCAGAGTTTGGTCTTTCACTACCAGATTGGCTACCAGATTGGCTTGGAGCAGTGTTGTTGTTGTTCTGGGATACTGTGTCAAACACATTGGCTTTGCAAGGCATTCCTGAAGGGGACAGTGCATGTTGGAATCCCAGTGCATATTTCTGAAGGTCATTGCTGAGCCAACTGACCACACTGGTGTCTTTGGAGGAGCCTTGCTTGAAAAGGCAGACTGCTCCCTCTGTATTCACATGACCGCTTTTCTCATCGTCCTTGATGATAACAACCTCCTTATCTTCAATATCCACAACCTCACCGGTAGAATCAGATATGTTATTGGGCTGGTCAGTAGGTATGTTTAAGCCTGGAAATTTGTCTTTCAAGTTAGCTACATCAACAAAGCAAACCACTTTACATTCCTGATCTTTCTGTCCACCGGGATTGTAGAAGTTGACATTGCACATACCAGCTTGGCTGTTTAGCCAGTCGAGTTCATGAGCCATCTTTGTTGGCTAAAAGTGGAAATGTTTCAAAGAGCTGTAGTGTGTTCTCCTTTTGGCTGAGCAGCTTGGATGACCCGGCCAGACTTAGGATGTTGTCTCCTCTTAGTCTCCCATACTCTCTACCTTCCAACCAGTGGTGTTCTCACTTAGGTGGACACATAGCAGCAGTGACTTCACAAAGCATCACTGTTCCCCACCAACCAGCAATGAGTTGCCAATACTTGAACACGAGAGTGTCTTTCTCTTCCCGCTGTACCCAAAGCTGCCTTTATTTTTCAGCTGAGCAACCTCGACGATGACCCTGCCAATCTTAAGATGTTGCTTGCCTCAGCTTTCCATGCTCTTCTGACAGCAAGGTACATTTTTCCTGGTGTGGACATGTAAGCAGCAATGACATCACAAAGCAACCGATTCACTCCCCAACCAGTCAGGTGCTAATGCTTTCACAAGAGATGGCTTGCATTTTTCTTCTTTCAATGAATCATAAATATTCCAAGTAATTAAGACAGCACTTTTGATTTGTCAGGTCAACCAGCATGGGAATAAATGAGAGCCAGTGAAGTTCTGGTCAATAAGAGAGGACTGCTAGAAGGCAGGATAGGATGGTGACTTTGGTGAGTCTGAATTTCAAGTTTGCCTGGTTGTATTAAAATTATTTTCACCAACAATAACTTTGGAAGTAAGGAATTACAAGTAGCACAATAATGTATAACAAGTTACTTTTGGGGAATCTTAACACCCAGAATCCACAAATCAGCATAGTCAATAGATTTGCTGAATGGGAAATTCTGTGAAGTCTAGTCCCATCTCTCTCTCTCTCTCTCTCTCTCTCTCTTTAGACACACACATATATGTCTATATCTATATATGTGTGTGTGTTCCCCAAAGTCTGGTCTTTGGTAGTGTCCAAGTGAATACAGGGACTTATCCGGCATAATCTTATACAAGTCTATACAGAGTAAGCTTCAGGCTGTATCTACACTGTCCTATATCCCAAGATCTGATCCCAGATTATCTGCTTGAACTGGATTATATGAGTCTACACTGCCAGATAATCTGGGATAAGCAGATAATCTGGGATCAGATCCTGGGATATAAGCAGTATAGATCCAGCCTCACTTTAGCATATTGGTAGTTTCTTTCAGATGAGTGGATTACAACTTTGACATGAAACATTAAAAGATGAGATAATATTTTTTCAGAAAAGCTGGGAGAATGCTGAGAGTAGAAATGTATGTGGAATTATGTCTATGTGCTCATACTTTCAAGTCACTTGTTGATTTAGGGTGACATCATTAATTTTGAAAAGTTTGCTAAGGCTTCATCTACATTAGCACTATAATGTAGCTTTGCGACAACTTAAACTGCAGCAACCATAAAATGCATGTCACCAATGTATGCTGCTGCACTCATTTAAAGATATACAGTGCTTTTAAAAAGTCACAGGAAAGTTCAAGTTCAGCCAAATAATGAACTTCAGCAGGTGCCAACATATCCCCGATTCAGGGTAAGATTGGCTCTGCAAAATATGGAACACATTGTAGACAGTGACACCCACTCCTGCTGAAGTGTATTATAGACCAGAATGGGGGTTACCCAAAAGCAAAAGCTCCCTAATGGCATGGCTAGGTAGCAGGAAGCTAATTGACTAACTGGGAAGGGTAACTGATTAAGTCTGCTCCTATCTGTCACTTTCTTCCTTTTTTTCTGCCCATATACCTTCAAAAGACCAATGCATGTCTCTCCCAAAAATGAGGGGTGAGGGATCTGCAGAGTAGTTTGTGGCCAGGTTCTGTGGTTAATATAATCACCCCCCTAGTGTCAAACCAGTTCCAGACCTTTCAATCTAACACCCACATAGCAAAACCGGGTTCTCCCAAATCTGTTACAATCTGCATTATAATGTCAGTGTAAATGTGCCCTTGGGCAAGGAATACTCATGGGTTTTGCCAGTTCCTTCCTATGAAATATAGCCTACAGGACCTGGCATTGATTGGTGGTCTTCTATCCAAGTACTAATCAGAGAAGATCCTGTCTAGCTTCCAAGATTATTTATTATTATTTCATTATTTCATCTACTTATACCCCGCCCTTCTCACCCCGGGGGGGACTCAGGGCGGCTTACAAAGG